CTGCACGCGTGTATTCGTTTAATGAACTACAAATTGAACGCAATCAAATGACATTTAATTAAATTGTCGGAGTATGAAACTCAGAATATTTCCTTATTACATGTGTGCGCTTTTTGCGTGCGACGATAAATTGTCCTGAGCTGCCTACAAGCTGACAATACGTGCTTGCATGCGCGTAAATGCCCCATGAGTTTATTACGGAAGTGAGATTTAAAATGGCGGCGCAAAGTGTTACATTATTTTATTTACGATTGATTTTAAATTGATTATATACGCTCGGTACACCATTACGAGCGTGGGAGGCGATAACAATGCGAGGTGTGGTTGAAGTTTTTATGGGTTTTAATAGTGATAATGTCAATTTTTAATTTCAAGCTAAATTGCCACTAAATTAGATTGTAACTTTATTTCGTTAATACTATTTTGTTTTAATTTATTATTTCGGACAAGTGGGATTTAATATTATCGAAATTTATTGCAGTGATAAGAGTAATTGCACTATATCCTTATTTCGAATGTAAAATGTTGTATATTTATTTAGTTATTTATTCTTTTATTACACACACCAAAATCACAATTTTCGCCTTTTGCTCGTTAATCATTATTTTAAATTTCCAATTGTTTGTGACTTTAAGTGCTGGAGTTATTACGCTACAAATGTGAGGCTATTTTAAGAAAAAATTTAACCTCAAACACAACACAAAACATAGATAATTCCGATACAAATTGTTATCCATTCAACAAGTACCATTAATTTGGCCATTTATAACTATTTCCAATCAATTTGGCTGTTTGGCTGCGTTCGTAAATAAAGTAATAACGATCTCGACGCGATAACTCATCGCCGTGTTTGGTTTGGCCGGGCGAAGAAATCGAACGAGTTTGTGCGCCGCTGTCCGACCGCACGGCGATGATTAATTAGATAGTGAAACGAACGAGTGAAAGGTTCCACCAAGATCGGAGCCATTCAGGCAAGAGCGGAGCTTCAATGTTTCAATGCGTGCTCAATGCCGGATCGCCGGCCGAAACAAGTGAATATTGTAAAAGCGTCGCAAGTGTTCATGAATACAAATCCGACATGATATATTGCGCCCGAATTAAATATGCTAATGATTTAAGGAAGAGTCGAACTATACAGCTCAATTAACGCCGTAAACAAGTGACATGCGGCTGACAACATAACCTCACATCAATACGCATAAAATGGCTGACTGCGCATACACTACATTTTGAGTTGTTAATTAGTTCGACTCAAATATGTATCAGATTTCGTGTGCGTGTGTTCAAAAGTGATGGAGTGTTTTACAAAATTTCCAAAAAATTCTAACCCCCTAACATCTGGCTGCGCTTAGGTGAACGTGATCAATCAATTTAAGGGTTAACAAAATCGTCATCGGAAAATCTCAAAAATGCGCTGTTTAATTAAACCATCGGAACAAAAATTTTCGATGGGTCTTGCTTCGAACACGTTTTATTAGTTTTAATTAAACGATTTAGCTGACATTTATATATGACACAATTACACGACCATAAATAACTCAAGCGTCTTTAGGCCTTTGGATTCATTTTTTATTCGTTTTAGCTTTGAGGTTATGTTTTGTTTTTGTTTTGTTGTAATTTCGTTCGAATCCGAGCCCGTTTTGTTTCGCTTGTTATGTGTGTGTTAAGTTTTCGGTGTGGAACATTAAACAAGTGAACATCTTGATAAAGAGCGACGTCCTAGGCGCAAGATGGACGGCGCACGGGGGACATAAACATTAATTTTAACCTTAACAGGCGCGCGCGCCTCGCAACCACCGCACCGAGAGATATCAGATTACGCGTGGCTCTTCCCAGAAGAAAAGATTAACACGCACACAATCACACTCACACTAACACACATATTCATACGAAACACTCGAAACGCTTTCTACTTCCAGCGAAACGAGAACTTGCTTTATGTGAATCGTCCGTTATGTGTTTAACGCGCTCATTTGTTTGTCCACACGTGCTATATTGGTTGCATACCATCGCATTCCTGCATAACATGTTCTGCAGAAACATAACCACAACTGTCGACCATTTTAAATCCAATCGCGTAAAATGTAAATATTTAATTTTATTTAACCTAAAAATCAAATCAACAAATTTAGTCTCTGTTAATATTTAAATTTGATTAAAGATTAAAAAGTGTGAGAAACTGAAAGAATTTTATAGATTAACGTTGCGCGCTCGCGTTTTAATTAATTACCAACCAGTTAATTAGCTAATGAACACGGTAATTGTGATTTAAGAAAATGTAAATTCCGAGCCGGGTCGGAAACGGGTTTGTTCGCGCGCGCGCCCGCTCTCAAGAAACGCGTTTCACACCACGTCCGAAGAGCCGTTTCGTTTGTCGGCCAGCACACTTGTATATTGACTTGTCTTCCTAATTAATTTCCAATTGTTTTATCAGTAACTCGCATCTCGCGCGACATCTGTTATTGGTACATAACTGAAATAACTGAAGAAGACGAACAAAAAAAATCAACGAAATAAAATTGAATGAAATCATTCGCTTATACTCTGTGTAAACTTTTTTTGGAGGTTATTTTATTTAAAGCAAAGAAAAAAGGTCACCGGATTTATTTTAAAGTCGACTCCAGGGTGCAGTTACAGCGCGATGGGATTCCACCGGATATAACTCGCGGAGAGCCAATCTTGCGATTGAAAATAATTGTCCTCTCGGATCAGCAACCCGGCAAACAACTTTACCGACGCGCATTGTACACTTGGTTGTCTATATTATATATATTTTTTGTTTTTGTGTGTGCACACAAGTCCGAAATGGGTCCCGCGTCGCTCGTACGCCTGATGCCATTCAATTTGTGCGGCTTCGATTTTACCACACTGCCGCCCCCCCACCACTATCCGCCAAACGTATTGTTTTGGGAGGAATAAAATAAGAAATACTGAAATGCGAATTGATCGAAGCCGCGGTAAAAACCTTGAGGGGTGGTTTTCGGTGTTGACTTTATTCCTGCTTGCCGATGGCGCAAGTGACAGTCTAATATCGCATTTTTGTTTAGCTGCGGGGGTGTTTCGCTTGTTTATGGCGCAGGCGGGGCGACATATTGCGCGTGGATATTCCGAGGGCGTTTTGCTTTATGGCATATTGGATCCGCAATGTAAACATTATATAATGCGTTATCACACTCGCACCCTTATCAAACAAAATGAAAACCGATACCGAAATTTTCAAAATGCATTCGGAAGTCATCAAAATTTCAAATTTTCCTAAATAAAAATCAACCATTATCTAGTCGTAATTTTGTTCCTGATAAGTAATCATTGTATTTGTTGATGTATTTATAACTTTGACATTAGAACCAAGATTAAAACACGTGTTTTCCTAATCATAATCAATTATTTTCAAGCATTTACAATCATGTTATCTAATTTATGTCTTAAACGCACAGAAGAAACGTTGTTTGTTGTTGTCGTTATTGATAAGCCATATAACGATAAACAGAGACAATTACAATGATTAAGATGATACTTGTCGAAAAAGAGCGGCGCTGATACATTTTTTATGTGAGTTTTTATGTACGAACGACTTTATACGAATCGAATCGACGCCATAATGGTCGTAATAAATTAATATTCGGACGCTGATACGCTGGCGCGCATTAATGAGGTAATTTACGATCAATAAAACACAATATTTAATTAGATAAATATATTAGCGGCGCGGTAATCTGCTTAAACCGCTTCATTAACGAGCCGAGTCGCGAGACCGGATTAATTTTTCTTTAATAAACTTGTTTCATCTGTGTTTATTATTATTATTATTAGTATTCGTAGGTATTTAAATTTTATTTTATACAGATTATGTGTCTGGTAACACGTTTATTTCGTATGTTCTTTTTTTTTTTCGTGAACTTTAACTTCAAGCAGAAGTAAAAATCTCGTTGACAATTTTATTAAATCGTCACGCTGGCATCTCGCCGTCAATTTCGAGAGTCGGCGAACAGATGTTCGTCTCCTTTGCATTTTCGGCGTGTTTTTATTGTCGTCCAGCTCGAGGTGGAACGACACGGTCAAATTATACCTGATACCTTGTTTATAACACAAATATGCCCGGTATTTCTTCGGGGAATTTCTCAATTTCGGTAGTATCATCAAGGAACACACATTTCATTAAATGAGAAACATGTTTGTACTTTGATGCAACTGCAATTTCAGTCATATTTACTTCCGCCAAGTATTATATTTCAATGTTTTATTATATTGGGTTTTTTATTAATCTAAGATCAAGTGCTTTTCGTCGTATTTTCGTAAATTTTAAAAATATTTAAAGCATTTTTTTTTAAATTTCGAAACTCAAGATTTTTCTATGGAATTACCAAGATTTTAACCTAATATAACCATAAATTATAAAAAACTCGCTTTTGTCCGCAACTTCATCCCGGTAGTGTTTAATAAAAATGTAATTTTTTTTACTCTCTTGTTCTAGATTTTATTTTAAATTTAAATTTTATTTTAAAGAAATTAAATATATAAAGAATTGCTACTAATGCACTTCAGCGCGCCATCTCGGATTCAACTATTTAACTATAACTATGACTGAATCTCAATGCCAACTTTTACCCTATAGCAAAATGCTGTCTTTTGTGTTTTCCCGGCATTTATTCGAATTTTTCTCATCGTAAAAACCATCCTTTGACTTTAAGAAACATTTAAAAAAAAGAATTGGTCAAATTGGTCTAGGCGTTGTAGTGTTATGCGCTTACCAACAGATTTTGCGATTCAATTTTATATTACAGATTCAACTTAATATAACCTAAATATTTTAAGATTCTGTCATATGTGTTCAATTATTGCCAATTCAAGAGATTTTTTTAGAAAAATTCAAAAATATGATTTATCTATGCAACAACAAAAAGCTTTAACCTTATATATATTAATGATATTAATAAAACCCATTTTTGTTGCTTGTTAGAAACGTTTTGATATTTTATGATTTGAATTGTGTTACGTACCCGCGTCACGTTTCTACCATTCGGTCGTCGTCGTTGTCCCGATTAGACCCCAGAAACGTGTGGCGAGCAGACCAAACGAGCATATGATGATCCCCATTAAAACTCGAATGTCTCACGAAGGATGACTTTCTTCGAAGAAAGGTGGACAACGAAAAAACCTGAAACAAAAATAAAATTATGGTGAGCGCACATATCGCCACATAATCTAGCACAATTATGACACGCTAAAGTTAAACGCACACTCATACAGGATGACGATGACATGCGCGCGAAGGGTGGACGCGCTCGTAAATTAGATAAGCATCTAGTAAACACCTGCATTTTTACTCATTCCATCTCTTTTTTTAAAGTTTTTTAGTACAAAATATTTAAGTATTAATAAAAAATGATACCGTTTAAAAATCCGATAATGAGTACTCAATTAGCGTGCGTATAATTTGTATCCGTATGTGTTTATGGGTTGGAGAGGCGTGTGACTATGGCGGGTTGGAATTTTCAGCGGTGCAGCGACGCGTTGCGTGCGATTTACACGTGTGCACAGGATGGCAAAAGGACGAATCACGAATTCCAGCGGCGGTATTTGTGATATGCGCGCACATTCGCGAGCCAGTTTGTTATTCGTGGTGGTTTTTTGCGAGCGCGCGTTTTGTATCAATCAAAAAGCGAACGTCGTTCGTCTCGCCAACAACGCATCAGCGTAGAACAAAAAACACATAAATATATACCATGTGGTTGTTATAAAAGCAACATTTTTATATATTTCTCCTTCAGTCATAAAGTTTTGTTAATATCTTTGAACGCTTTGTATATTTAAGTTTTAAATCTTCTACTGCTGAAAGCTGGATCATTCAAGACGCGATTCTGACGTTAATTAGTCATCTAATGGGCATAAGTTAGATTACAACGTGGTTTTTAACAATAGCATAACTCACAATAGCAACACTTTAAACAATAAAAACTTTCCGAAGAAAATTTATTCCCAATTCGATTTGTATTGTTGTGTTACACTAGAATAATGCAATACCGGTTGAATTCTTGTTGCTGGAATAGTTGAATTCTTGTCTTGTAGAATTCTGTGAAAACGCCACTTATTGCCCAAGATTGTATGTAATTGTGATGATGAAGTCAAGGACAATAAAAGTTAACTAGGAGCAGTTTACGGACGTTAGACGTTCCAGCTAGAAGAATTTCAGCGTCGCGAAGACGCCCGAGACGATTATGTAATGGCGGTTATGATTAGGTCATGTCCAGGTTGAACGGTTATGTTAAACATGCGACAAACAAGCGATCCTAATCGGAGTTCACGAATGCCCACAAATGCTGCAAGATACGCGCTCGGAAACGTTCCGTAAACGTTGAAATGTTGGGAATTTCTTTTGATGTCTTTGATGTTTCAAATAGCGCCATCTATAAAATTACCAAGTTAAAATGGCGCATAATTGGACCGCAAAACAATAGAATATTGCTTTTATTAGTAAAATTTAATGACTTCCTGTATTATAAGTAGGTAGGTATTATTTTAATTTATTTTTTATGTTTTTGTGTTTCCAATCTGTAACATTTAGATGAAGTGCATGTTGCAATTGAAAATCAGCTCGTAACAGAGATGTGCGCGTGCAAGTGATTGCGCGCCATGTTAGGTGTCAGATTTGTAGCGTTATAAAGATAGCCATCTACACGCCGCGGTCGATATTTCGCGCCCAGCATCAACCGCTCGGACACCAAAGACAACACATTTTGACTCGAGCCTCGGAGCTGGTGTCCAATGTGTCCAACAAATTCGCCAGCGCGACATTTCGACCCGCTCGCGGACAAAACGTACATACAGGTGTTTTGATCTCGCTCGCATGTTATGCGTCGTTTATTTATACCATTGTATTCAATTTAAAAGGCGCGCGAGACTCTAAACGACGCGAATCGCAAATGCAAAGTGTTAGGATTCCGCCAGCGTTGCTTTTTTCGTAACACAGAAAACAAGGTGTATTTTATTTGCGTGTGCGCTGTTTTATGTTGGTCAAATGTTTTAATTCATGAGTTTACTTCGGCGCTGAAAGTGACGTGATTCAGTCAAGTTTAATTGACAGTTTTAAACATGTCCACCACAACGAAAAAAAAATGTCTAAAACTTACTCCACTTGTGTCTGTTAAGCATGCGGTGCAGGAGATAAAATCAAATTTTAATTTTTTGTTCTAAAAACTTGGTAAAGTTGAAAAATATGATGATTTCGTCTTGGTTTCGCTTGGCATTCATGAATAATTTTCTCGTCCGGCGGATTCCCTAAATTTTTCTTATTCTGTGCGTTTGTTGTTTTTTTGTGTTTTTGCGCGCGGCGTTGTCCGAAATTACAGTCTGCTGGTCGCTTTTCGTGTTTTCGCCGGCAAAACCTCGCGTTGGAATGCGCTCCGCAGCGAGGAATAAATTGCTTTTTATGCGATTTGGCGATGACGCAGATTTATAGCTCGCCGCGGAGATTGACAGTCCTAAACCGAAACAACGGCTCGAAAATCTACTATCCCACATTATCCCACACTTCGCGTGTGACTCGCGATTGTTTTTTTCCAACGCAACGAAATTCCTTCAGGAGCCGCAGCAGTGGACAAGTCTCCCTCTACCAACTTACACCTGCTTCATTATTTGCACGCAAAAAAAAAAAAGTTATGCCAACATCGAACACTTTAATCGTAAATTATTATTATTTATCGATGCGAGGCCTGTAGTATTAATTGCTCGTGTCGTGTTGCGTTTTAACTGTTTGTTGGATAAAGAACACAAAGTAATAACCCGCCAATTCCAGGAACATTCGGTAGCCGCCGTAATGTAGTAATTTTCTAATTAAAGTTGTGATTCGGTTTCAAAAATAAATTGAAACGCAACGCGCGCGCACATTTACGACCGATACGTAATAATTTTCCGCACGCTGCTGACCTCTGGCGGGTGTGCAGTCTTTTGAGTTTTCAATTAGGAGTGGCAATAGGGCTTATAATGCGCTTGGCGTAACGAGTTATATGTATGTATCGATTTAAGCACTAAATTAATTCTCGCACATGTCGCGGCGGCCATTTGCTTCCAGACGCAACACACACATACACGCTTCGCCGAAGAAAAGGTAAGGTGTAGGTACATCGTTATTGCGCGACGGTGGCAGGTCCTCGGCATAATTGAGCTGTCACACCAGTCATAAATCATTAAACTTCAATTTTATACATCTTCATGGAAAATAAATTCGACCCTGTGCAGTCGCGCTTCGAATGTCGCCAATTTGTAATTTCTATTTCCGGTTATTCGCTCCGCTGCGAATTTCGTTTAAGTTTTATTCACATTCGACCTATCCGGATCGTCCTCGTTTGGGATAATCCTATTCTAGACCAACCCAACCCAAGGACAAAATAAATGGAAGCCAACCTCCGAGCTAAATTACACTAAACGGATTACCAGCGCACGGCTAATAGCCTAGAACAATTACTTAAATAATAGCGACGCGCGTCGGAAAATGGCCACCGGATCTTATTTCCTCTGGGGGAGATCTCAACCCCTCGTAAAATCCGTGACGTGATTCCACGCCGTGAATCCGGCAGCGTATCAGAGAAGGATGCTAAAGTGAAACGGTTTAGTTCATAGTTTCAGCATCATCATGAAAGTAAAAGTCGTGCGGTAGTGAAGATGGAAATTGCTTGCACAAGGGTTTGTTTAGGGGTGAGTGTATCAAGAGGGTGCGAGCGAATAACGTTTAAATTGCGACAGTGCTTATTAAGTAATAAAATGATAAAATTAACTGAGAGGGCGCTGTAATCACCTGTCACTTCAACATAACCTCAAAAAAGTCAAAATATAGGTTATGTGTGTATTCACACAGAATTTTTCGAAAAGCAGCCTCATTAGTGCCAAAACATAAAACTAAATTATGACATTTTGATGTTACGACTTATTTAATATCGAAAAAGTTTACGACGTTATTAACGTGTTTTTAAAAAGCGAATACAAATCATTTGATTATTATAAACGAGAAAACGTGAGATTAACACATCGAGCGACGCAAATTCACAGATTATCGCACGGATTACAACTCCAGGTGTCAATGACATACAGTGTGTCCATGGTGGAACCTTAAAAAAGGTCGTAAAATGAAATATTTTGTATGCGAGGCATTTGGAAGTGACTTTGAAAAGTTTCGGTAGACAAAAATCGGCGGTAATGATGTTAAATGTTAATATCATCGGTGTGCACCGGTACAAGCTGGCGAACTGGCCGAAATCAACAATTCAGGTAACAGAATATCCGTACGATTTTACGGCCTTTTTATGACGTTCTTACCGCGAGCGCAGCATATTGATGCTGGCCGAGCGTAAATATTTTTTTCCGCCGTTTTACACGTCGTTGTCGCGCTGGAATCATCGAGAAGTGGAGATTATTAGTATAGTGCACGCGTGGTGGACAATAAATAAATTATGCAAAGTGCTACAGCACGCTTTACGTGTGTTTGCTTTATAATTATCTGCGCCTTTACATGCGTCTCAAATGCCCAAATTATTGCGGTTAAGAGAAGGGTTTGTTGCTTTTCCAGCGGACGGATGACTTTTACGACTTCTTCGAACTTGGATAATAAAAAAACAAAAACGTCCATTGCAGTATTGCATAATTACGTATTACCTATTCTCTTATATAGGTAATCAATTATAATTTTTGCATAAATTATGGTTTACACACTTTCCTTCATAGATTTAATTTAGGTACAACATGACTTTTGATAAACTAGCGAAAATATAAACTAGATTAGAAATGAATAAATAACGACTTACAATAAAATGAAAGCGTAATTTATTCTGTGTGCATGCAAATATAATTGCTGCTAATTAATTACCGTGGGCGATTGTAGCGAAAAACCGGTACGAATTGCATTGGACGCGCAAAATGGCCGCCGTCGCCATAGCGGTAAGGCGCGAATTAATTGTTTGCTTGTCGTGTTATTCTCCTCTCTCCGGTGTGAAACGCGATCGCGACCATGGCCGCTGGTCATTATTATAAACACTCGTGGTCCACGCGCAGCAATTAAGACTTTAAGGCACACTCCAACATCTACATCTCTAATCTTACTTAGGTAAGTACTTCAAGCACAGCGAGCGCTAACACTAACGCTCACATCACTTAACAAACACTCAT